AAGGAGTTGTCAAGGCTGTTATCGTGGAAGTAGGTGTAGTTGGCTGCTCAGCTGCTATTGCCTCATCCGCATCTAAGTAATGTTCAGTTCTTAAATAGAAGGTAATACCAGTTTTCCCAGTATACCAGTGTCCGCCTGTCAGACCAAGTGGACCGGCACCATTTCCAACCCCTATTACTGTTGAAATGTTATTGTCGTTATTGTTACCATTATGACTATTATAAGAAGAGGATATTCCAGCCCCTCGAGTCCATAAGAGTGGTATTGCACCAACTCCAACAATATACTGATAATTTAAGAGCATAAAAAGTAGAAATATAGGTGAAGTTTTCGTATGTGATCTTGTGCTATTGCGGGGATTCGTGGATGAACCATGAATTGTCGTTTTTGGAGAAAGTTTGCTACATAGTGATCGCATTGACTTTTGCGCCATTTTAGGTTAAGCGTGATTATGTTATAACGATGACGATGACGATGACGACGACGACGAAGAATAAGGCGAGTATCCTATATGGCGCTAGCAGTCTATCAAGCTTTTGTTTTAAAAAAATTAACCCGACCTTTTTCAGCCTTTTCCGGAATCTATCTGGATTTAATGTTTTTTGAAAAATTCACCTCGATCAACTATTTACAAAATACTGATGCTGTTTATGTATCCTTTTTTGACACTGAGTTTTAATCAAATTTAGTCAGCAAGCAAATAATGACGCTATTATAGTGATCATGTACTTTTAAACGCATTTATAAAATTAACGAAAATTAACGAGAAAAAAATAAACTCTGTAAAATGCGAAATACGTTTTATTTTAAATTTTTTGTGTCCACGAAAAAACATGCAGTTTCTGTTGTGCACTATGTACTTATATTATCGCTACGCAAGGATTTAAAAGAAATAAACAATTATTCTGACGATATTTGATAGAAATTTCGCCAGTTTATAAATACCAGAAATTTTGTGTGAAAATAGTTTAGCGAGTGTATTATTGATGGACAACCGACATTTTCTTCGGATCGTACCTATCGGAAAATAAACAATAAATTTATTTCACTTTTGCAAATCGATCCTTTATTTATTCATCGCCCATTTCTGTGGATCAATTTTTAGGTAATTGGAGTAAAAAGAAATGTGTTTGATTTATAAAATTAAATCTCGAGAAGTTTATCGTTATGTAAACCTCATTCCATTTTGGGTAACTTTTAAAAATCAACCTTAAGGTTATTTTAAAAAAATTTTTCTCACGTGTATATGTTTTTAAATTAGCCAGCCTATCCAACAATCATCTATTACTTTTTCTAGCAGACCCCTTTACATCTACCTTGTTTTATTTGCTTACATAATGTGAGACATTACGTCAAAAAAAAGGATTGGGTGAAGTTCCTCCATCTTTTTTACATGCATATTGATATACATTAGATGTACATGTGCATCATAAGACCACCGACGTATTGACATACGTCTAGATTAATTAATATGGCATTCTTATTTGTCAGTATCTCAAACATCTTTTTTCATTGCTATTAATAAGCGAAATTAGGAAATAATATAATATATTACGTTACGGCGGGGGTGTTAAATATTCGGGCGAACTAATTTCTTTCCTTATGCCGAAACCCTAATTCGAAACTTCTAGTTTCACTCGAAACACTAACAGTGCAGATTAATTATCCCATATACGCTCAAGCAAATGTTCAACAATGAAAAAACTTTTCTAATTTTATCAATATTAGGTCAATTCAATAAATTTGCGTTAACATAAATGGGAAATTACTAAAGTGTATCTTTTTACAGTCGTTACACGCTAACAAATCAATTTAATTTGATCCAATTCTAAAGCGAGTCTTTTTTTAAACAACGCAGTGCCTGTTACATTTTCACTTATTAAAATTGCATCCCTCGGCATGTTTGGGGTACCATTCAATGGCATAACATTTAATTTTCTGCACGTTTGTTTTTCCGAATAAGGGACATCGTTTTATTATGCATGTCATGAATGTGTGCTAAATAAATTGATAGCGCAGCTCGGAAAATCCGGGTCTTTCTACACGAATCGGGGGGATATTTTTATTAAGTACAGTATGTTATTAAAGTTATTGTTCTAACGACAGTTTTTTATCAACAAATTTTGCGTATGCTGTGAATATTCATGTTTATTCAGGAGGCTTGTCAAAGAACTTATCGTTCATAGCTGCGTTCGTTACAAAAAGGTCTGGTTTTGACTGTATATAGTAATCAAATTTATTAAATTAGTTGAGGGATGTTCCATTTATTACGCGAGTTTACCATGGATACATGGGTCAGTTGAGCATATAAAAGACGTGTCACACCAAAAAAAAATATTACAGTCAACCCTCGTTATTATGACATTGTTTGTTACACAGAAAGGAATTCTGTATTGTTTGATATAAACGAGGTTGTCATAATAACAGGTGTCATATTAACAAGGTTTGATTGTGCGTGCGCCCAAGTAATATTTATGGAATTTCTCATGGTAATGGAATGGATAAAACCGAGCTTCACCATACAGATAGCAAATTTTATTTTAAGGGGCATCCATAATTTACGTTAGAGAGATTGGGGGAAGGGTCTCAAGCCAATTAACAAATCATATATGAGTATCGATCAGTGTGTTGCTAAATTTGCTCATTTAACGTAACTTGTGAATGCCCCCAGACAATGATGTAAAATGAAGTTCTCTTAAATATTTCCATTTTTGATATTGAAAAAAAGAAACTAGATAAATTTGATCTACAAATCCGATATAAATAGGTGAAAGAATTCGCTGCGTACATTTTTTAAGCGAGGGAGAGTGAGTGATATTTATAGAAGAATAAAATAATTATTTTTTGCTGGTAATAATAAACTCAATCTACTATTACTAGCTAATCAAATGATAATAGTTTTTGGTTTTTTTAAAGAAAAAAAGAGAAATAGACAAGAAATAAAATTTTTTACAAAATATAAATAAAGGTAATGTTCTCAAATGTCCATCATTAATTTTCACCCATCTTATGTAACAATCAATAGCTTGATCGGAATTGAACGTAAAAACTTTACCACAAATCTCCATGATTCATTTCCAAAGAATCATCGGATGCCAACAAAAAATTCTTGTTCTAAGATATAAAAAGGGGAAAGAAAATAAGTATCAGCAATGATGGATAAAAGATAAAAATGCAAGAGTCAAAATAAAAATAAACCTGTAAAGTGGAAGAACCAGCGACGCATTCCAATTGATATTTATAGACAACAGAATAATCGTCCACTTCCATGGAATTGCCGGACATTCTTGCCATCAATTCTTCAATATCTTGATCGAGTTCGTCGCTTTTTTTCGATTCTGAAAGTAAAGCAGAATTTCGTAACCATTTCGATTGCTGTTCAATTGGCATTGATTCAACACATCGCATCTTACGAATGAATTGGTCGTTATAGAAATTTATCTGACGATTCAATTCTTCGTATGCTTTCTTATGCAATGACTCTATATAATTTTTATAATCGAGTGAATTCATTTGTGTATTATTGGTGGATGATGAAGAAGACTCATCACTATTGAGGGGTTTTAATTTTGTATTGTTCCTATTTATCGATGGTGACGATATTGAAGGCGAAGACGAAGATGTTGGTGTCATTGTCGTAGTTGTGGAATTCGTTGTCGTCGTCGTCGAACGTTTATTGGTTTCGGATGTGGTTGTATCCATCAATGCAGTTCGACCGTTCTTTTTTTTTGGTAATTATATAAAAATATTCAAGTAAGACGGGCCGATACCAATAAAATACAATGATGTCAGTAAAATATGTAATCTATTGCATACCTTTGATGCACCAGAGTTCACCGCCCATTTTCGACGCGTTGAACGTTTTCTCGTGGTAACATTTGGAATCGCAATAGTTCCCTTACGCCATTTTGATATTTTGTTCTTTACGATGTTGGGCTTACCATCATCCGTCACCTGATGGCATTCGCCAGGATGTATTGATTCGACAACCGTCGACGAATTTGATGCTGACAATAAAGAATCCGTCATCGAAGCATTCGTGGTTGGCAGAAAAGAATCCGTCATTGAAGAATTCGGGATCGATAGCAGCGTCGGGGTTTGTAGCGTTATTTGATTTTTATACATTTTGATTTTAAATTTATTTACAAGAAAAAAAAATATGTTTGGTTTTGAAAATAAAGTACTGCTAATTTCTCAGAAAACGCAGGCTTTATTAGAGGTGTTT